CCTACAAACATATGCTCTTTCCATGTTAGCACACCGTCAGCAAACATTCTGCCCTTTGTACAAAGGAATGAACCAAAGATCTAAAGATAAACATATATAATCAACAGCTAATTTACTCTCTAAATTTCACCAACTATATACTATTTCCTCTGTAGCCTTATCCAAAGGTGAGAGGTATTGAAAGTCTTATAATATCTTGAAGTTAAAGAGACCTCTCTCCAAATGCCAGAACATATACCAGCAAATAAATGTTCCTTCTACACACTCCAATATATGACCAACCCATAGGAAAAAAAAAAAAAAATTAGTCAGGACACACTATAATAAGAAAGTAGCTAAATTCCAGCTGTCACAGGGAAAGAACATAAGGATACTACATAAGTCAGGGAAAATTCATACGCTTACTTTGTTGCATTGCAATTCTAGAAATGGTCCAAGGCCAGGAGCACATCATAATGGTAACTGGATTTGAAAACTGTCTCTGATACAGAAAGATTTTCATGCATCTAGAAATAAATCCAAGGTCAACTTGGATTGGTTAATCTCTTCCTCAAGTATATTCAGATTTCTCAAGAAGAGAGGCTCAAGGTTAAACTATAAAGAGGAATTATAGTATCATTCCTCTCCCAAAGCAAATATGGCTATTACTATTATAGGCTTTAGAAAAAAAAACAACCATCAATCACTAACTGTTTCCAAATACCTAAGGAACTTCACATTGAGGTAAATCTTGCTAAGAAATACACAATGAAGAAACAACCAGACTCAAGTTTAGACCTCTTGCTTACCAAATTCATTATTTGTTTGACAAGTAAACAAAGAAAGAGGAGCCATATTCCCTGTTCCTAACAAATTTACTATTCAGCAGGTAAAAGCAGTGTTCAAATAATTAACTAGAATATAGTGTAGTGTTACTATTATGCAAGTCATCTGAATAAAGGACTCTTATCCATAAGAGTGCAAAGAATTATTGCTTCCTGTCAACAAGGCTTCACGTTGTTCAGTCTGTGTATATGCATGTGTGTGCTTAAGCTGACAACCACACCAGTGATGAAATTAAGACAGGAGGCTGGCCTCAGCAAAGGCAGAAAAGTAAGGCAGAACAACACAGTCAATTCAAAGAATTAACCAATGCAGGCAGTGGGGGGGCATGTATATCAAATGGCTACATACGTAAACACCTGAAGTGTTCAAATGAATATCAAAAAGGCAGCAAAGCAAAACTCAATGCCTGAGGGGTGTGAAAAGGCTGTGCTAAACCACAAGACTTGCTCAGTTAAGAAAAGCAGAGGTCCTGAGACTTGGCCAATTGTTGCTGTGCATTAACTTTCACAGCCAAGCCTTCTGATTTTAAGTGATGACAGAAATCCCAATTTTCATCCTGATTTTTACACATTTATTCAATTAATTAAGAACAATTTTTAAAACTTTATACAAGCCAAAGCATAACCTATCTGTAGACAAGCGTCAGCCCAGGGGGTGGAGAATCTACAGCCTTTGATGTTGAATATCAAGTAGAAGAAAAGTCTGGTGAGGTAGGGTAGGAACAGACAAGAAAAACCTTGAATACCATGCTGAAGAGTCTGAAGTCTACAATGACTGAAGGCATCATGAAATAAGATAAGCAGATATATATTTCAATAAAGATTCTCTCAAATGGTTTTTAAGAAATGTTACTGGAAGTATTGTTTGAAATGATTAGTTGGTAGCATGAAGGGCATGGATTATTAAAGAGCATAAAAATGGGGTAGACCAGTTACGAAGTAATAACATTTGTCCAGAAATAATGAAGGCCTAGCTAGCAAAACAAATGAGCTCAGTTTTGGATTGGGATTGGGCAGGGGTGGGGAAGGAGAGTGTTGTGGTTGTGAGAAAAGTAAAAGTGAAAAAAGATGACAATATGGCACATTCAGAGAGAGTGCAGGAGAAAGCTCTGCCCAGTCAGGGTTCCTAATGTGTTAATCTTTCTTGCTTTGTATTTGCCATGGATTTCTAAAAAATCTGAATTATAGTATCATTCCTCTCCCAAAGCAAATACGGTTATTACTATTATAGGCTTAAAAAAAAAACCATCAATCGCTAACTAACTGTTTTCCAAATACCTAAGGAACTTAACATGTTAACAAGAACAGGAATTCAGTTTGGTCAAGAAGGAAAAAACTATCTTGGGAGTACAAATCACCTTGAATTATAGAATATATTCTTACAAGGATGCCTATAATTCTGGCCTGATCCATCATACAGACACTGACATTGTGAAACTGTTCTGTAAGTTGTCAGTTTTCTTCACTTGACTCTTTTTATACATATGGTATTTTCTTCAAAACTGGTTTTAAAGGAATGCCATTTCCATGAAATAACTTTTTTCTTAACAATTTCGACATTTTATTTCTTAGCAAGATTTACCTCAATATTCTAATTGCTTCAGTTCATAAAATAGCAGAATATTCATATTAACATTTTCAGATCTTTTTCTGTCAAATCAGAAATTTACTTCCTTATTTTTACTAATAATATAATACACAATCTGAGTTACATGTGATACCACATTAAACCACCTCCCTGCCCACAAAAAAAAAAAAAAAAAGTGAAATTGAAAATTGCTTCCATAAGGACACAAGATAGGGATAAATTCAAAACCTACTTCCATGCATATGTAGTCACAACAGAACTTAAAGCTAAGACCCCAGAGTGAGTGAGCTTAACCATCTAATCTTCAAGGGTCCTCTTGGGCCTATCAAGACTAAACATATGTGATAAGGAGATAGAACAGGGGCTGGGGATGTGGCTCAAGCAGTAATGCGCTGGCCTGGCATGCGTGCGGCCCGGGTTCGATCCTCAGCACCACATACAAACAAAGATGTTGTGTCCGCCGAGAACTAAAAAAAAATAAATATTAAAAAATTCTCTCTCTCTCTCTCTGTTCAGAACCTACCAGAAAAAAAAATTTAAAAAAAAAAAAAAGGAGATAGAACAAAGCCACAGAGCCCAGAAGGACAAGAAACAGAAATGGAAAGAAGGATGTAGATGGACACAGGAAGGAGGTGGGTAGAGTTAGCATATATGAATGGGCAAAAGCTAATGCTCTGAAACCAACACAGCCTTTGGCTCTTAAAAACTCTGTTTCTTTTCTACTAGAGAATCCCTCTACTCCACTCCACCAGCACCCACCACCTGCAAAATTAGTTATATATTGGCTCAATTGTATATTTCTTATCAAAATACAAACAATGCAGCTTTGTTTGGCAAAAATAACATGAAGGATTCATGATGTTAACTTCTACCTCAATGTTACTGAAGCCTATGATATAGTAATGAAACAATTATAGAGGATCTACCAAAAGATAAATACCCTTACATTTATGTCTAAACTTTTACCTCAAAATTTATATCTAAGTTGATATAATTGAGAAATATATATTAAAGAACGAATGGTTTAGATATGAAGTATCCCAGAAAAGCTCATATGTTAAGATACTGTAAGAAAGTTTAGAGGTGAAATGACTGTGTAATGAGAGCCTTAACCTAATCAGTACATTAATCCATGGAAAAGTATTAACTGTGTGGTAACTGTAGGTAAGGTGTGACTGGAAGAGGTGGACCAATGGGGGTGTGCTTTTAGAGTTTATATTTTGTCCATGGTGAGGGGACCTCTTTGCTTTCTGATTGTCATGTGCTTTCCTCCATGTACACCTTCCTCCATGATGTTCTGTCTCACCTCAGACACAGAACAATGGAGCCTGCCATCTATGGACTGAGACCTTTGAACCTTTGAACACCAAATAAATTTTTCCTTCTGGTCAGTTCTTTTGGTCACAGCAACAAAAAGCTAAATAAAACATCAAGCGAAACAATCAAATGCAAAATAAAAACTACTTCTTATTAAATCTTCAAAGCAGACTCTTTTTATGGTCTAACAGGAAAAAGGGTTAACCTATTATGACAATATATTAAGGCCAATGCCGAGATGCATTTAGAAAAATCAGTATATGATACCTTTGGCAACACCCTTCTCCATCTCACACCCTCAAAGACACTGTCACTCAACTGTAAACTTCTGAAATAAAGGGACCATGTATTATTCATCTTTTATCTTCCACAGTACTTAGAATAGCTTCTGGTATGAGTAGGCCCTTGGTAATGGCTACCAAACTGGTAATTAAAATTCTCCAGAAAACAGAGTTCTCATTCAAAATCAGCCCACAGGCACACTGAGCACTTTTGAACGTACTGCTGTATGTGGGAAGAGAAAGCAGCTTTATAAAAACAGTTCAGGACATGGTGTTAGGTGACTACTCTGCCCCAAAGTAAGACCTAAGGTGAGACCAAAAGGATAAACACAGAGGCTAATTTGAGAGAATGCTAAGAAAAAAAACCAGGTGGGTAATTAAGGATTATCTCTTGCAGTAAAGAATTGTTTTGGAGATTGGATGCTCTGACTCCTCCACCCTCATTTCAGCACAAAAGCAGGACTCAGAAGGCCACAGCTCAATTGGGATTCACAGTGCAATGGTACATTCATAAATCACTGGGCTGGTTCACAGTATAACTACCACCACCACACCTCTGTTATCTCATCTGCAGTGCTACAAAAACAATTTCTATTTCCCATAAAATGCTAAAGGATCAGAAATCAAAGGTAACAGGAATAGGGTAACAGTCCTCTTCAGTACATAGTCAAATTTTTATTTAAAAGTCATAAGATGTGATCTTCAAATAAAATCTTTAAAATGACCTCAATTATTAACAGGTAAATCAAAACTGTTCTGGTTGTAGCAGGTGGCTTAGAATTCTGCTTAAGGCACTGCCATATAATCACTGTGGTTGCAAAATCTGAAAACTAATGATCTAGTCCAAATTCCTCACCTCACACATGCCCAGGCAGTGAAGGGAAGAACTGAAACTGGAATCCAGGAATATCAACAACCAAACGAGGGCTTTTCTCACTATGTTCCAAGCTGCTTCTAAAAACCAGAGGAAGACACATGATTGATACTTACCATCTTTGTTCAGCCATTGCTTTCTCGTTCTGTACAAAAGGAGCTTATTATGGACGTAGGGTAAAAGGAACTTGACACACCAGCTCTCCACACCAAGTTTGTTTTCAACCAGGACTATGGGACTTCGGTTATACCTTGCTTCAGGGCATGGGATCAGGCCAATTTCATCTCTTAATATGTAAAACATAAAAAAGAAATAAAGATGGTTTTGGGCTTTTCAAAAATTTCCTAATTCTACAGAATACTTAAAAAAATATTTCCCTTTAAAATATTATTTAGCTTATCTACTAGACTAGTAGAAATAAAAAACAATAACAAAAAACCTCGTGTTGTTGACAATGAAAAGAGTATGGAAAATGAGTATGCTGCACTACTCTCTGTTGACAGGAGTTAAAATTGATACCTTTGGATGGCAATTTGAAAATGTCTTCAAAATTATAAATGCACATTCCTTTTGACCCAACAACTTCACTGCTCAAATGATCCTGTTCTAAAATATACAGATAGGATTTTCACTACAACATTGCAACAAAACAGTAAACAATCTATATGTTTATCAATATAAGACTGGTAAACTAAGAATAGCCCATTCATATAAAAATTGTTAAATAATAACATAGATTTGAATATGCTGATATGAAAAGTTGCCAAGGTATACTAAATGAAATTTTTTAAAAAATGCTAAACACAATGTACAGCACAAAGCCTTTTGTATAATTTCTTTAATAATATACAGATACATTAAAATTTTCCTTGGAAGGATATCAAGAAATTTTTGGAGAAAGAAAGGAATTGAGAAAGAATTTTATTTTTATATTTTAAATTGTTTAGTTACTTACATTACTCCTGTTTTAAAAAACTGCACAAACTGTTTCAGCCTGCCTGCTAATAAATGTATATGGAACAAACACAAATTATCAAAGTTATGTTGTTAGTAAGCCATTTTTCTCCCTTTCTACTCTTCTGAAAACAAAACACCCTAGTAAAAGTCAAAACACAAAATACATTTCAGAATTTGATCATTTTGATTTGTGGTAGCATCAATATCCCTCCTTGACCACAATGTAAGCTGAGATTTAATAAGCAATATGTAGGTCACTTAACTTAACAACATAGTAAACCAGCAAACAAAAAATGTTTTGCTAAACCTATTCTTGCCTACATGAAGCATCCTTTCTCAAATAGAATGACCTTTATTCAATGAATAATGAAAATTCTTATAACAAGAGTAGTTGAAATAAATAATGCTTAGTATCTATGAATTTAAAAAAAAATTATAGTTGTAGATGGACAGAATGCCTTTATTTTGTTTATTTTATTCAGTGCTAAGGATTGAACCTAGTGCCTCACACGTGCTAGGTTCTGCCACTGAACTACAGCCCCAGCCCCTATAGATTTTTAAAATGTGTCTTTAAAAAACAGAATGAAAAACTAGGTTTCAGAGTTTGTGTATGGTATAAGTCCCTGGGATTCCCTTGCCAAGAACATAGTTATTTGATAGACTACTATAGGGGGCAAACCCGTTCAACTGCAGGTTTTAAGAAAAAACCCGTTTTGTTAGCTCATCATCACAAATTGGTAAAGGGCTGTGGATCTAAAATAAAATCCCTCCTGGAAACTCTAAACTAGAGAGCTCAGAGGCAACCTACTTTCTACTGATCACTTCATTAGCAACACAGGGATATATCAATAAACAAGGGTACCCTAGGGGATGCAAGTCACTACAATTCTAAATAATTTAACTCTTGAGAAGCTTGTGGGACCTAAGATTTTTTGTCCTGACTTATAAGTTTGGTAGATTCAAAGGTGTTCTAATATGCCATGTCAATACTATCATACTTTTTTCCAAGTACCTACAGTGTACTGAGTACTATGTTAGATTCTGAAAATGCAAATAAGAATTAAAAAGTGGTCCCAGACATAAAGAGATAAATTTTTTGAAAAGTTGTGTCTGAATCTATAATAAAATGTTACCACTCTGTCATTCCAGTTATATAAATAAAATTACGTAGGAAGAGCGGGGACAATGCTAAAAAGGCATCTGAGGATAATGTCCAGTATTTCAATATGTTTTGCATTTATACTTGATATTAAGCTAAAATGTGTCTAATTAATTCTTAGAACAACTAGACACATCTTGTATACTTGAGTAATATATGACAATTGACGGTACTCAGGATTACCATACAAAGTAGAATATAAAAAATAAGCTAAAATTAGTAAAAGAAAAAAATCCTTCAATCTTAACTATTCAGAAAATTCTGTTAAGATCTAATAACTACTTAAAAAACTTCAAAGAACTGCAGGAGTCAAAAACATGTTATAGTAACAACTTAAAAAAAAATCCTGGCTTCTGGTATAATCTGTTATGGGGAAGCGATTTTGGTTTTTTGGTTTTAAACTTAAATTCAAAATGTAAAAATCTGCCTTGTTCACTAGCTGTACCAAAAATAAAATGCCCAACTACCTAAATTATAGAACAAAGACATCTGCACAATTAAAAAACACGTTGCTTTGATTGACTACCCTTCTTTTAAGAAATACTTTCAAAACACAAAAATGCCTTGGAGATATCAGGTGCTTAAAAATTGCTTAGTGAAAGGCTGATTATCCTTGCACATCAGCGATTATTCAAATACATAATTTACAAATGTTATAACTTCTTGACACTCCAAAGAAACATTACCCCTGATTGTCTAACATAGTGTAATGAAAACAGCATGGGTCAAATGTCACTTTCACCTCTCAGACCTCAGTTTCTTCATTTGTAAAGAGGTAGAATTGCATTATACCTTTAGTAAAGGAAATGAGTTGGTCTCATCCAGTTTTCAAATTTTATGACAGAAAAAGTCAGCAGCTATTTGTATGTAAGACTGAAAACAATCATAATAAATAGGGAAAAAACACAAATACATGAAAAGAGAGGTAGTAAGTAACATGTACAGACAAAAGCACTCGGTGGAAAGTCCAAGATTGTAATTGGTCTACCAATGACAATTAATGTGAATCTGCTAAGTCACTTGACATCAGGATCTTCATCTGAAATACAGGGAAAATAATGTCTTCCCTGTTATAAAAACAAAGTGATACAATGTGAAGAATGTGGTAAACTACCAAGTACTAAGCAAAAATGAAGTATGTTATCATTATTCATTTAAGAGTCTGAGGTCAGCCAGTGAAGTTCCTTGGTTAACAGTAATGAGAAGTTGAGGAAAAGAATATTAAGCCTTTGCCAAGTTATCTGACCCTTATATACATGATTTTGATGTTTTCTAAAAAAAAAAAAAAAAAAAAAAAAAGACATTTACTTTATAGGCAGGTCAACCTATCAGTTTCCAAATAACAGTTTGATTTCAGACTTCTGTGCCTAGTCCCTTAGGTCATAGTCCACTTTTTTTTCAGACAATTTAGAACAGGATCCCAGAATCATTCTAAAACTGCAAGGGACCTCATTCTAGTCTCATTTTATCAGATGAGGAAACTGAAGTTCAATGGGGTTAAAGGGATTACCTAAGGCTAGCAGCTAAATTAAGAATCTGGGCCTCCTAATACTTAGATCAAACCCCTGGCAGTAGAGTGAAAAGCAAAATAGAATTTAGACCAATTCTTTCTAGAGTTCTGGCAGCTTAAATTCTAATTTCATATTCAAGGAAAAGGTGTGAAAAAACCCCCCCAAACCTAAAAGCAATCTGTCATCTCTCTACCATTATTAATGTCTGGGTACTCACCCCCGCCCCTTTTTCCCCCTATGTATTTTACAAAAAGTGAAATACTGGACATAATTCTTTTTAAATAAAACTTAGCAATTCACATTAAACGTTTCCCTACATAATTAAATTATATTTTAATGGCTATAATGAATGTACTATAAATATCAAATACATTTCTGGTTATTTCCTCACAAAACAGTCTTAAGGGTTCCACTGGCTTCCTGATGAAGTTCAAGGTTCACATAACATGGCTATTGACTTTGATCCACACTTAGTTTCTGTTGTCTGTACTCTTCAGAAACATCATCAGTCAACTAGAATAAATTCACATAGTATTTACTAAAGTATTGACCAGCTTCCCTCTTAGAAAGGATGGACAATCTCCAAATACTAAATCTGAACCCTTGTAATGTTGCATACTGAACAGAAAACAGCCCAAGTATTCAGAAAATGGCACATACCTTTTAAATCTAATAATACTTTGGTTTCTGTTATTCTTTTTTATTAATGTGGAGTTCTTTCCACAAAGACCAAATAACAGTAAAATATCTAATGACTCTTGCCAACTGATAACTGAAACTCTACTAGTGATTAAGATACTTCAGAGACTTCCCAGACTTTCTCATTGGACTATCAACTTTGTATGTCACTAAAATTACATTACAACTCTTAGAAAAAAGCTACACAAATGACTACTGTGTATTGTTTATTACATAGTTGTATTAGGTTTTACATGATTTCTTTTATTCTGCACAATAATCTTGTACAGCAAAAACTGATTCTCATTTTACAGATGAGAAAACGGTCTTGTTTATGCAGTCAGTAAATAAATGTCTCTCAAACCCTATAACCAAACTTTTACAACGATACTACTGTTTAAACAAAATTTAAATATAAAATCCTAACACAAGATTGTAGATCCTGGCCGGGCGTGGTGGCACATTCCTGTAATCCCAGTGTCTTGGGAGGCTGGGGCAGGAAGATTGAGAGTTCAAAGCCAGCCTCAGCAAAATCGAGGCACTAAGCAACTCAGTGACACTCTGTCTCTAAATAAAAACACAAAATAGGGTTGGGGATGTGCCTCAGTCATAGAGTGCCCCTGAGTTCAATCCCTGGCACCAATAAAAAAAGAAAACTTTAGATCTTTTGGTTTCCTATTCTTCAATTCAATTGGCAGACAATTTAAAAGTGCCTGTCATTACTATTTCCTTACAGATTTTCACTGGGATCTGCTTAGAAGTATACTTTCCCAAACCAACTATCCTTCATCCCTCACTTCTCAATTTATTAATTACTATTTCCTCAGAAAGAAACATCTTGACCTTCTAACCTAAGTAAGGCCTCCCTGTTATTATTCTTTCAAAACATTCTTTATAATTACCCTTTCTGCCTCTTTTCATAATCTGTATACTGATTTGTTTTAAGTTCCACTAAAGGACAGGAATCCATGTCTGGCCTATTGACAAACTGACACCCAACTCCTAGTCTACTATCTCCAGAAACAAGCATTGTGTCTGTCAAAAGAGGTGCTCTTTTGCAGAACATATGAATGGAATGAAATAAATTCAACCTGATAGTTAAAGACTTTCATGATCTGTCTCTTCAGTAGCTTCTCATTTTGCTACTGTTGGTTATTTCTCTGCTCTTAGAACATCTTAGCCTCTGAGACTCTAAATCCTAACCAGACTTCAATTAGCTTAAAACCCACCTCCCCTAAGAGCCCAGATATACCCAGCCTCCCCTCTACTTCTAACACTCACAGTATGTACTTACCATACTATTAATACAGCCTTTACCATTAACTGCTTTGCAAGGTTACTTTACTGTTCAAGCCTGTAGATCTTAGGCCTTCATTTAGATCTAGACCATGCAATACAGTAGTCACTGGACTTATGAGGCCATAAATCAACTTAAAGCAAAAAAAAAAAAAAATTTAAATTTGATTAATCATTCACATTAGGCTAATTTCAAGTGTTTGACAGTTACATGTGGCTAGTATGGCACAGATACAGAACATTTTCATCATCAGAAATTTCTGAGTGCCTTCAGTCCAAGAAATATTATTTTATACATCTTCCTATTCCATACAGTGAAGATGGTACCTTTAGCACCTCAAAACTGTTAACAGTTAATACAGAAAAATACTATTATTCATAACTTTAATGTGACCCTGATTACACTGTAAATAGCTGTTTTCCACATTAATATAAGGTCTGTATGTTGGGATAATGCCTGTCCCTAGATCAATCCTTTAGTTATAGAGAATGAACAAGGATTCTCTAAGAGTCAACTAATGAATATAAACAAAATTTGCCAGGTTATTTTCCATTTTATAAAGTATTTCATATTCACCATTCATTTGGTCACTATATTTTCAGCAAAGAACATAGAGATTCAGGTTGAGTCTAGAATTTGCCTAATGGCAACTAAGTAAGACTGTGTGAGATGATTTTCTTGTGTTCTCATTAGCCTTACAAGATCAAGAGGAAACTGAGGCTGACAATGGGTAATGAATCCACATCTCACTTACTGTACCTTTGACTATTCCTGATTAGCTATTTCTATGTAGGCAAAAGTCAATATATTCAAAGGAGTAGATGTCGGCAAACAAAATTATAATCTACCTTGTATTTGGAAAAAAAAGGAAAACAAAAAGAATAAAACTTTTAAAATATTGTAATTAGATACTAATGTTAAAGGTAACAACATTCTTCCTTTTTAAAATAAATACATAACCCCTTATTTGGGGAGTAAAATGGCTAAATTACAGAAACAGGTACCAGCAATTTTAAAAAGCCCAAATTATAAGAAATTTTAAAAGATGCATTATAATATTATTGAAGTTATTTTTACTGTAAGAAATGTGTGCTAAAATACAGCTGCTAATATTAAATAAGCTAATGAAGCTATTTAAATGTCTCAGATCTGTTACATACCATTATTTCAAATTATTTCAGACACCTAACTTATCACTAACTTTTAAATCCTAAATGACCCCGATGCTTATTAATAAAATTTTAAGTTGCATACTGGTACAGGATATTTTAATGACATTTCACAGAAAAATATGAAGGGAAGGTTTGTATTTTTAGGACTTAAAGGGTTTAAGTCCTTTATGAATTTTGATAAATATGATCCAGAAGAATTGGGACAAGTTCCAAACTGCACTGTGTCAACCTGCCAAACCCATTAACACTCAATCAGAAATAGTCTGTTTTTTTCAAATAGAAAATGATACATTTAGTCTACCTCAAACAGAAACTAAGGTGATTACTATATTTATTAGACTCCTAATTCTGCTCCAATTTCTTCTAGAAAAATAACACCAGTGACGAGAAAATAGGATCTTCATTAGTCCAACTTGTTTTTGAGGGTGTGTCTTATTTGTACTGAAGCTCCCAGTTTCAAATAAGGATTGAAAGGCTGACATGCAACCAGGCATCAAAGCATTCTTTACAAAGCCTAGCAACCACTATGCTTACTGCCAGGAAGTCATTCCAAATACTGATTTTGAAAAAGGCAACAGTCATAAACGAAAGGAAGGGTGTCCTGTCAGAGGTGGCAGGTGTGTTTTGAGGCCAGCAGTGTTTTGTTTTTAATGAGGCACAGTTGCAGGTGTCCAATTGTGTGCCACAAGGGAGCAAGACATCTTAGGGCTTCTTAATTCTTTTAGCATCACCTTGGAGGAAAAGAACACTTTGTTAAAATGTAGGTTTGGTACTTCTTTTAGGCAGAAAAGCTGAAGGGGTGGAACACTTAAAAAGAATAATTCATGTGCTCCAGTTTAAAGGATAAAATATTTAAAATAAAACTCCATAAACAATTAAAGTGAAAATAATGCAAAACTGCATTCTTTGTTTCTTTCTGTGGGGATGAAGAGGGATGCAAAAGGAACTACACTCTTGCTTCTCCCTCACTCTTGTACAATGTTGTAGACAACTCTTTTTAATAGCTTCCTTTTCACTAGTTAAATAAAGGAAAAGTGTCAGAATGCGTACAGTCTTGTGGTATCTTCCCAGAGTGCTGGAAGCAAAATGGAAAGGAAGTTCCAGGAAGAGATAACTTGTCTGTCAGTCCTGTAATGTCCGGTTAAAAGGGCAGCAGTGCTAGGATAAAAATTAGTTATTATGCTTCCTTGTAACTATGAATCAGATTATGCTAAAAAGTGTCGAGGTTTGATAGCTTTATCCCAGAGTACATGATGCTTACAGGCTCACTCTTCAAAAAGCTCTGTTAACCTTCGAAACCCAATGTTTCATTGGAGTCAATTTACAATCTTGTGATGAGCAAAGCTGAAGTCAAAAGCAGCCTCAAACTACCTTTACTTAGTAAACTGACGGGGTTTTGGCCCGTTAAGAAGAAGAAGATCGGTAAGCCCTCTTAGCAACAGCCGGGATGTAGCTGAAAGAGTTGTGCCTACAAAGCACACAGAGAGCCACACTGTTATGTGTACCCATGTACCTTAAACGCATGTAGGTTGAGAACCTAAAGGTGAAGTCATTCAAGTTCCGAGAACTCCTGGGAAAGGATGGGGACAGAGTGTCACACAAAGTCGTTCCTTCTTGATTTTCCAGGTCATTTCTAATAGACTCGCCTGTCAGCTCGTCCGGACACCCAGAAAGCCGGCCCCCCGGGCAGACGGGTCCGCCCGACCTCGCTCAGCCTCCTCGGAAGGGCGCGTGGGCCAGAACCCGCGGTCCGCCCGCCGCCCGAGGTCGGCTCCAGGCGTGGTCCCGCTCCCGCCCGCCCCGACGACCCCCGGTGGCGGAGGACAGGCGCGACTCACATGTGCGGGTTCCTCCTAAAGGCGTTGGTGATGTCCTTCACCACTCGCTGCACCAGCACCGCCACCTCCTCGTTTGTCTCGGCCATGTTGGCGGCAGCCGCGGCAGTTCGAGCGCGCCTCCGGGAAAGCAGAGCCGCCGGCGGGAGTTCCGCGGGGAGCGCGCGCGCGCGTGCGCCAGTTTGGGCGCGCCGCTGCCGCCGAGCACTTCCGGGTCAACCCGCCCGCGGCCGGGGCGTGGTTCCCGCTGGGTTGGCGGCCCCCAGAGATGGGCAGGTGGGTTTACCTCCGTTTGGGTAAACGAGTTTCTAAACCTTGGAGAAAACGCTGCAGATTGGCTTGCAAAGTTACCTTAGGCCGTAGAGGGAGGGTCCCCAAAATACTCTCCGAGGGACAAACGCGTGCGCCCCCACGCCCTCCGCCAGGTGCCCCAGAGCTCCTGGAGAAAAGTTGAACAGAGGATGCTGGTCCTTTTGAACAGCTAGTCCCGGGGCGTTTCGAAGGCTCCTGGCTTTCTTGTACCTACTCGAGGAAGACCAAAGACGTCGCGGCGGAATGAGTTCGTTTGACCTTGGTGGTGACCTGCTTTTGTACCGTGTGCCAATTTGGGCTTGTGAATTTCAAAGCAGCCTTTCAAACGGGTTAAAATTTTTAAATTAATGCGTGAAAAGAAGACAAGAGAAAGGGGGAAAAAAAAAAAAACCTTGCCCTCTGGATCTAGGAAGAAAAAGTGAAAATTTTTTTTTAGATTTTCTACTTAGAGCGTAGAAAATTAAAGGCCTGACAGTTTGCTTAAAATAGCTCTTTTTCTTGCTACAAATAATTTTTGTAGGAAAAACCGAGCTCTGTAGTCCATTTCGATTTTGAAATGTCATAATTAAGGTTTTGTGCATGCCTTTCTGTGATAGAAAAATCTGGTTGTCTTTAGTTCACTATTTTTTTCTTTCACCCTTGAAATCTGTGTCTCTTAAAAATTTTTTTTTTTTAAGCAAGCTCGTGGTATGTGATGTGGCACTTGAGGTAGAGTTTATGATTGTGAAAGTAATTCATTGGTTGTGAAATGAATTAAGAAATAAAAATTAACTGTACCCGGTAGTCCATATATTATGTAAGTATGTTTGTAAAGGCATTGGCCTTTTGGTTTTTATTAAAGCAAAACTGAAGTTTGACACAATTGCAGAAAACAAGATGAAACAGGTTTAAGAAGTAGTAACATCAAACAAACCTTACCCTCTGGCAGGTTCTGGAATGAAAGAGTAAAATGAGTGGAATGTGTGTTTAGATTCCAGGGCCAAGACAACTTCAGATATCCTGGCTACTTAAAGAATAACAGCTCTCAAATGTTTTGAGTTAACTGATGAGTCTTTCTTCTTAATCAAACAAAACCTTACATCCTTTTCTAATGACAGTGGGAAATAAACCCTGACTTCTGGGGCAGAGTTCAAAGCAGCATACCCAGAAATAAGAATTTTTTCCAAAAAAGTTTATTTTTAATTTTAAGTTAGTGAGATTTTTGTTTTTCATTCCAATAATATATGTATTTGTATTTTACAGAAAAACTCCAAACTTGGATCCCAAGTTTTGAAGTACATATACATATGTCTTCTTTGTATTCATTTGAAAGACATGGTTCTTGTAAGACTTCAAAGAATTGTTTTACCCAATTATTAAGGACCTACTATGTGTAGAACTCAATTTTTTTTTTTTTTTTTAAGAACTGGGAATGTATTAGAATTCTGATCCACCTCAATGTACAGATAAGGACTGAGATTCAAAGACGTTAAGAACTGAAATTCATGAGCTCTTGGATATGTATAAGAATAGGAGATGATGGATTCTGGTTACCTGTGGCTATAATCCCCACTATTAAAGGATGGGCAAGTTGGAGGCCAGCCTGAGCAACTTGGTGAGATCATGTCTGAAAATTTTAAAAAGGGTTGAGGATGTGGCTCAGTGGTAGAGGGCCTCTGGGTTCAGTGCATAGTACCACCAAAAAATATAATAAAAAAGAATAGGATATGGATTTTTGGATGATTTTCTTGAAAAACTATTCAGGGGTTTCAAAACATTTATTGATAATGATGAAACATAGTAAATAGCTTAAATGCTCAATGATAGGGTATTGATTAAATTATGGTAAATTTGTATGATAAATTATTATTTAACTATTTAAAAATTCCATTATAAGTGATGACTGTACAGTTGGATATCCATAAGCCTAGATTCCACATCTGTGGTTGGTTGAATCTAAAATTTCAAAGTATATAGGAAAAAAATTGTGTCCCAAAAATGTACAGACTTATTTTTGTCATTCCTTAAACAACATAGTATAACAGCAATTTATATATCATTTACATTCTGTTAGATAAAATATATAGCAGGATGCGCATAGCTTATATGCAAACGCTGTCAGTTCATGTAAGGGACTGGTGCATCCACAGATGTTGGAGTCTATGGAGGTCCTATAGCCAATCTCCTGGGCAAAGAGCAAGAGTATGTTACCTTTGTTAACGGTGACGAGTCCTTGCTTCCTCATTGTTGAAGTATAACACCAGAGAAGCAGACGGAGGCAAGTTTAGAGTGGAAAGTAGAGGCTTTGTTAAAGGACAGCAGAAAAGACTTCTCCCAGAGGAAGAAGGGGACCCAAGAGGTGGAATCCCTGGAAGGGCGAATGTGTTCCCCTTTTATAGCTAAGGTCTTCATCTAGTTTTTCCCCCTATTCCTGTCCTTTGTTCTGTTATCTTTCAGTGATGGAATGTAGGTGGGAAGGCCCGAAGGGTGGGGCACAGGTGGGCCAAAGAAGTAATCTGGGCAGGAAGAACTTTTGGGTTAGCATCTTCAAGTTTGCCAGGAGCTGTTTCATTAACATTTCTTTGGGATGGGTTCTGGGTCTTGAGGACATTAACATTCCAAGAGTTGTTCTGCTTTTCCCAGACTTCATTCTCAATATGGCCTTCATTTTGGATTTTACTGGATATTAGACCTGATTTACCTAACTACACTGACTACCTATCTTTAAATCTGGCTTCAAGTACATTCCAAAGTGTTAGGGAGAAGTATATTCACAGGGGAATTTTAATTTCTAAATAAGGCAAAAAAAAAAAAACAGTAATTTTTATAATTTAAAGCTTTTTAAAGTTTATATTAATAAAGACATATGTATGCATATATATGTATGTGTGTGTGTGTGTGTGTATATATATATATATATATATATATACCAGCCATCTCATGCATTTGTTTTAGTACAAGGATTGAACTTGGGAGCACTTGACCACCAGGCCACATCCCCAGCCCTTTTTTGTATTTAGAGACAGGGTCTCACTGAATTGCTTAGTGCCTTATCATTGCTGAGGCTGGCTTTGAAAAAAAATATATATATATATGCCCCTCACCCACAAAAATACACTTTCCACATTTTAGAAAACTAATTGATATTGGGGAAAATGTAGATCAGAATAGTATTCAATACAATCCTAATTTCATATATACAATACACATTGTACATAATATAATCATGTATGCATAAAATAGACTGGGACAATATAAAATGTGAACAATGATTGTTTCTTATAGAATTATTGGAGATAATTGAGACCTATAAATATGTGTTCTCTATACTTTTCTGGATGTTCCAATCTTTCTACAATGAAAATTTTGATGTATGTAATAAGGGCCAGAGAGGAAAGAAGGACACAAAGATGGTTTTAATGACTTTTCAGAAGATATGGGAAATGACCTTGAAATCTGTTTGCATCTCTGTATTATTCTACTGACATCACTATGACATGTTTATGTATGTACTCCATTATTTTTATTTGAATTCCACCTTCTGATAACATTATACAAGACAATTCAAATAGTGCTAAATGTGTTCTTATTGTGTATTCATATTATTATAAAAACAGCAAGCTTTTATCTCCTTTAAAAGAATTAAGTGCTCAGTTTTAAATAGTTTATTAAAATGTTGCCATTGTGATTCTATATTATAGTGTATCCTATCCACTATCCTAAAATCTAAAATCAAAGAACTTACTAGCAAAGAAATAATAGCTGGAAAATGTATATATTTAAAAGCATACATCAAATGCAGGGACAATTAATATATCTTTGTCTTGGTGTGTTAATTTATTTCCCTGAATACAAGATTCCAGGTATAAGAACTATTTTTTTTTTAAGTCTCAAAACACCCATGAATGCTAATTCCATCTATTGTTATGCCTAGTTGACATCTCCATCACTTTATTTTTCCACTTGTTGGCATAAAAATAGGAAAATACATGTGAGAGTATCTTTAAACTGAGAAGCATACAAATTATTACTTTTTCTATGATTACAGAAAGCATTATGACTAGTCAGTTTTAAAACACAGTAAAGTAAGACTAAACTAAATATTTTGGATATGAAACTGTTCTCTAATATTTCTAAAGACAATTCTTATACTGCAATTATAATTTAATTTCTTAGTTAAAGGATGAACTTTCTTTAACCTGACAAAGTAGGTAAATATTATCAAGATAATAATAATGAAGATGACTTTAAATGACCAGTTTTGCCTATGTTAGATCCTAAGAGTAAAGATACTAGTTACATAAATTTTTTTTTTTATTATTTAGTGATGTTTTATTTTCCTAGACATTTAGTAGTTCCAAAATGTCATCCTTTTCCTTTGTTCAGTTCTTCCTTTCTACCACAGAGGCTCAAGAGACCCATGATGTATTCTTTAGAAAAGTACTGAAAAAAAAATGACTAGAGAGAAAAAGAGCCAATCCAGGACCTGCAGATGAAAACAGATAGGAAGAGTGTAACTCCCCATGATGCAATGAATGTTTCTCATGTACTGAAAATGTCAAACTGTCATAGGAATTTCCTTAGTAACATGCTTTTTAATGGATAACTAAATAAAATTTTATCTTAATTATGACAGATGAAAACCATAGACTTAGATTCAAAATTCATAACTAAAAATTTAAAAACGTGTGGGAGCTTCATTTTGGCTGTTGAAGAGGTTTAGTCTGAGAACTGGTATCTGACTAAAAATAAAGGCTATACCTCCTATTCTCTTTTCTAAAGTCAATTGTTTAATTCAGATAAATTGTGA